GCGTGGCGGGGCGTGGCGGGGCGTGGCGGGGACGGGCTGATGGCTGGGCGCAGCGCCACGCCCCGCCACGCCACGCCGCGTGTATATAGTCGCTGCACGTAGCGTTATTTGCCCTCCTGCCGCCGTAGGCCAACAGGGATGGCTTGTGGAAAGAAAAAAGACGCGCGCGGGCGAAGGAGAGCAGCGAGAGAGAGAGAGAGAGAGAGAGAGAGAGAGAGAGAGAGAGAGAGAGAGAGCGACGACAAAGAGTAACGATGAGTGGGAGAGAGGAGGGGAGGGGTAAAGGGTAGGAGAAGGGGGCGGGTCTTATGTGATGGCAAGTGCCACAGCCAGCAGCCCCCGCCCCGCCCCTGGGAAGGAGGAACATCGCTCGCTTCATGAAATACGCAACGCTCTAAATCGTGGGCAGCAGTAGTGGGGGCTGCAGCGCGCACGGTGGCGGTGGCGGTGGCACCGCAGGGGACGGGGACTTAAATCCGCTCGGATTGGCTACTTTTATCTCGTACGGAACGCGCCGTTGAGTTAAAGTTTCTCGGCCGCGCGACCCGCGACGACTGTTTCAGGAAAAAACGAAACATGCTACCGCGGAAAAAAGAAATGTTGTGCTTTTTGTGTATTTTTAGTAGATAATTCCTAAAACCACCTACACGAAACAAATATTAGATGAGGTGCCAGCTAGCTTTTACTGTCAATGAGGGCGAAGGGAAACCAAGCGTGTGGGCCAGCATACATTATTGGGTGCTGGTGGAGCCGTGGACTGACTAAGGTGTCGCTCCGGGCCCAGCTTTGCCCTCCTTTCGGTAGAAAGTTGAATTCATCACACTCCTCATTCAAACCCTACTGAAAGTTTCTGGATATCAGGGCGAGTTAAAGCAACACGTGGGTCTCATGCTACTTCCTAGACCCTACAGAATGTTGTTAAATAAGAGAGAAAACTAGAGCACAGCCCCACTTTCAAATTTGTATCATCTGCTTTCAACATCGATTCTGGCTTGATTAAGGTTTTTTCTTAGCGATGCGATGCGTAGCGATGCAACGAGTCGCGGTGAATACCTGGGGCTTAAGTCCTCACAGTTCGCCGTATCTGAGCACCGCTATCAGTCGCTATCGCCGCGCGCCGCGGCACGACGCCCAGTCAGACACAGAAGGCTCGGCGGCTGACCGGCAGGACCAACAGAGTAGCAACGGCCCCACCGCCATCATGGAGTGCGACATCTGCCTCGAGGACTACAACGAGGTGGAGCACGTGCCCAAGATGGTGCCGTGCGGGCACACCGTGTGTCTGAGGTGCCTGGAGCAGAGCGACAGGAAGGAGTGCCCGACGTGCCGCTGGGTGAGTCCGCGGCGGCTGGCAAAGAGTGGACTTCCGATCTACAATTTCGACCGAAACGCCATTTCTGTGGCCGCTGCATACATCTCTAGGTATCCAAAACAATTTCTATTCCCAGGAGTTCGAGGTCGCCCCGGACGCACTGCGCAATAACTTTGCTCTCCTGCGGCTGATTGAGCGACCAGACAGGTGAGCACCTTTTCTACCCGGGTAAAAATGGTTTGTATTTACAAATTTTATAACATGCAATAAAAATTTACAAAATTTTAGAAACAGGTATACACCGTTATAAAAAATTAATGAAATTTTATAAATGTTTATTATTATAATTAGTAAACCTTTATACAGAGGTCTGTATACACTTTTATAAAAGCTTATACAAGATTGTACTCGATTTTATAAAAGCGTATACAGACCTCTGTATACAGTTTACCAAATATAATAAACGTTAATAAAATTTCATTTAATTTTTTTTAACGGTGTATACCTTTTTATTACATTTTATAAATGTTTATTACATTTAATAAAATTTGTTGTATACATACAAATTTTAACCGGGTAGGATCGCAAACACTCGGCCACTACCGCATCAGAGGCAGAGGACTGCACCTTGTGGCGTCCACTGAGTCACCACATTGCTCCTCGACAGGCCGTCCCGCGGCTGGTGCTCGGACTGCCGCGCCTCCGCCGCGGCCCGCTGCTGGGGTGAGGACCACGACGTCCTGCCCGAGAGGAGGGCCCTGAGGCGCCACCTGCAGGGCGCGCTGCAGCAGGCGCCTGGGCAGCTGAAAGTCCTGCAAGACCAGTGCCAGGGGGAGCAGGTCGTTCAGGCCCTCACCCTGCTGACTGCAGAGTCCTGCAGCTTGACCCTCAAGGCCGGCAGCCACGAGCTGACGGGCAACGTGGGGAACACGGAGGACCCCCTCACCCAGCTCATGTGGATGCTGGTGGCCGCGAAGGCCGGCCTCACCAAGGTATGCATCTAGCCGCGAATAACCGAGAGTATAAACAGCAAGACAAGGTTTAACATTGTGATTTCAGGTAAGGTGATCAACACGCAAGACCGTGTACATTTTCTCATATCCGGATGTTTGTCAAAATTATTTCTTTGCTTTCGCGTTTTCTGGCTGATGCCGGCGTTTAAGAGCGTTACTTGTGTTGATGCGTGGGGGCAAGAACTCCGGGAATCATGTGTACTTTTGCTTGGGAATCATCAGGATAAAATCTAATCGAAAAATTACTGAAACTAAGCGGGAAACTAGTGGAACTGGTATAAATTAGTCGAAATAAGCGTTTTCTACCTCCAGAAAATCTAAGAAATAAATAAGATAGGACGGGAAACGCTGGGAATCAAGTATTTCAGGTATCATGTGTACACATCAAAAAGGAGTTATTGCTCCTTGTGTTGATGCGAACCAGTTGCAGGATTGCATGGTCGCTCGGGGCGCAGGGGTCGTTGGTAGGCCAACACTGCAGCGCTGTGCAATGAAACACTCGGCACCTACTCTCTTGAATGACAGCACCATACACTTCGACTGTTGCAGAGTCGTGTCGAGTCGCGGGGTCCCCCGCCCGCAGACCCGGGCCCAGCACCTCCAGAGGCGCGGCCGGTGCGGGAGATGAATGTGTGTGATGTCAGCGCGACCGACCCCAATGCCCAGCAGCAGGACAAGGCGGCCCTCCTCTCAGCAGCGCCGGGGGTGAGTGTGCGGCTGGACAACACGGCGACCAGCCTCGCGGGCGGCACGTGGCCGAGGAGCGGCGAAGCTCAGCGGCAGCCAGGGACGCTCGCGGTGGCGGTGGCGGTGGCGGCTCGCTGTGGCTCAGTCTCTGGCGCCACCCTGGCCTGCCGACAACCCCTGAGGTGACTTGACTCTGTTCTGCCGCAAGGTGACCAAGCTGGCCAGCATTCACTGCCACGCGGACCCCGCCTGGAGCCTCCAGCTGCTGGTATTCGCCGCGCCAACGCTGGAGCGCCTGCGTGTGCTCAACCCCCGCGAGGCCCACCTGCGCGCGGTGCACGCCATGCCGCGGCTGAGGAGGCTGGACATGGATGGTGATGCCGCCCTGGACGCCCAGACCCCCGAGCTGCCCTCGCTGCCGCCGGGACACGCCGGCCTGCAGTGGCTCAGGGTGTCGTGCCACCTCCCCCGCGCCACGACACAGTCCCTGCTGCGGGCGCACAGCAGCACGCTGGAGGAGCTGGAGCTGCAGGTGGGCACGGCGGGGAGTTATGGGTGGCCACGGAACTGCAGCGACCTGCACTCGCTGCTGCAGCAGAGCGGGCTGCGGGCGCTCAGGAGGCTCGTGCTGCGGAGGTTACCGGGCTACAGACACGGGGCAGCCGACTGCAGCGAGCAGCGCGCCGAGGTGCGGCGGGTGCTTCCCGGGGCCGAGGTGCTGTGCCGCACGTGTGACAAAGTGAAACTTGATTCGGTCTAGGAGAGCAGTGCGGGCCGGCATGCGCACATGCGTGGGCCAAGGCCCTCGTCTTAAGGAAAGGGAGAGAAAGGGGGAATACTATTACTTTACTGCATGTTCAATATATCTCCATTACCGTCCATTACTTAATTTTGTCCTATTTTTTTTTCTTTTGATGATGCCTGGAACACTTAACACTGAACTCGAGGACAACGAACAACATGTGATCGTATTTTAACGGTTAGCAATATTTATACCTATACTGCGGCCGGGTGAGCGCTAAAGGCTGCTGGCTCGGCGCGGCTGGTGACCGGCCTCTCCGGCCTTCGCAGCGGGTAGACTAAACGCCTTAAACTTAAATCGATAAACTTAAATGTGGCATTTTCCTGAGGGGAAATTTCTCGTCTTTACCGGCAGTGTCTATGGCCACTTCAAAAACCGCAAATAGTAAGGAACGTTTCCGGGAATTTTTAAAGTTTACTCATTAATCGGAATTTATAAATTATACGTTACACCACACGTCCGCCAACCAGTTGACGGCGTTCACCAACATCCACCACACCAACCGGCCGCCATGAAAAAACGCGCGGTGAGGAATCGGAAAACTATATCATCCTCACGGCCTTTTCAATACAGGACGCACCCTCACGAGGCAACGGCGGGCGGGGAGAAATGATCCCTGGTCCGCGGGGGAGGAGTAGGGGGGGTGGGGGGCGTCGCTGGCAGGTGGCCAGGAGGCCCGGATATCTCCCCCCAGCCACCCGTGGGCACCACCACCACGCCAAATCCGGCCCTGATTTGTTGTTTGATCTCAAGCACAGCAGCAGCAGTAGCAGCATAGCACTCCCCAGCCGCGCGCTTGCACCTCGTGCTTAATTAGAGTACTTGGATTATGTGTTTAATCTCGCCCTTACCCCACCGCTTCTCCCTTGCAACGGCACTCTAATTATGTCCCGAGCAAAGCTGATTGGGTGCGAGTCCTGATGCCAGGAGGCCGCCCGCCGCCGTTTCGCAGCCACCGTGTATTTTTCCACCCCCCCCCTCTCTCTCTCTTTCTCTCTCTCTCTCTCTCTCTCTCTCTCTCTCTCTCGCTCGCTCTTTCCGACAGCCAATTACGAGCCCGGGTGGCGCGTTCATTCGGTCCGTACGGCGGGAGCAGGGCCATGATGATCCACCCTTTACCGCCCATTAGAGCCCCGTCAGGTACGGCCGCCCAGGTACCGCGGGTGGAGCGGGAAAAACAAAATCAATGGCAGAGTTACTCGGTAACGGTGCAAGCGACACGACGGCAAAGTGGCACACGCGACGAAGATGTGACGTAATAAGATCGCTAACACACCCTAAGCCCGCTGGAATGACAAATTTAAACATTCCTTTTGGTATGTCAAAAAAAAAAAAAAAAACATTCCGTGGTCAATTATAATTTTGGTACTCCTTTTAAAGACTTTGAGCATTTTTCGTTTGAGGTTCTTAATCTTTCGGGCATTTTTTTTTAGAGAATGTAAATTCTTTGGACATTCTTTTAGAAATTGCAAATTTTCGCTCCCTTATCGGCAGTCTCTACGGACAGGAAATGCTCGCCGCGCCGCTCCGTCCGACAGTTCCTCGAGCTCTTTTCTCGTCCTGAGATATTAGACTGGTCAGTGGTGAGTGAGAGGGACGGAGAAAGAGAGGAGGAGAGGAAGAGAGAGGGAGAGAGAGAGAGAAAGGGGAGGGGGGGGCTAGTTAATCCAGGCCCTCTGAGTCTCAGGAGGGAGCGGGCGGCGGAGAGTCTCGGGCAGCAACCAAAACCACTGCACTGTAAATTAACGTCATAGTCGGCGACCGGCTTTACAGGGCAGCCCTTGATTAAATTGAACCCGTCCGCGGACTTCGTCCGCCGCCGCCGCCGCCGTGTCGCCGTCAGACACAAGTTTCTCTGCCCGAGTACCTATTGTTTGTGACTACACTCTGCGAATCAAACCGTGTGACAACGCGACACGTTTCAGACAGCTATACTACTAAAGTTGCGAGGGGTGACGATTACCAATGACGATTACCAATGATTACCGGTGATTACCAGGGATTACCTACTCTGTGTACACCTGATTACCTCAGTTGGGCACCCCTCGTAAAGTTGCTACTGTTTTAAACTGTAAAAGCTGATCACTGTGAAATATATCCTCGTGAATTTACAACATCCGCTGTAGTTTTTGTCTATAAATTATGTTGTAAATTTATCGCAGCCCATTCTTCGGAGTTCGATCACTTCCAGGTCGATGCAATGTGCTCGTAAATTTACAACTTCGAACTATAATCTTAACAACAAAACACATCATGGAAAATTTTCCCAGTTTTCACAGTGGAAAAGTAACACAGTTTCGACAATCAAAACTGGTTCAAGTACGCAGTTTGTAACGAAGGAAATTGGCGTAGTTTTTGCATATATAGGTGTCATGCTGTTTTTGGAGGACCGTCCATGCCATACCGCACCACACAGTGGAAATCATTGACTGTGTAATAATTACACTAATTTATTTTTCGCTTTAGCGTCGGGTGCACTCACAGGGAAGGGGGGTGGGCGGTGACTCGAGATGTAGATGCCGAAGCCCCTCGATCGCTGTATGATCCGATCGCAGAGCGCCGCCATACCACCGTCCGCCCCGCCCACCCCGCAGCCCTGAGGTCCGGCAGCGTAAACTAAGCGAAACAGCCAGCGCTTTACTGCTTCGTCATTCTTGAACGCCCGAACATGTCCCCCGCCCCGCCCTGCTTCGACACCATGCCCCGCCCTAACCGCCACGCCCCGCCACGCCCCGCCACGCCCCTCGTATCAAAGCCGTCGCGGCGGGCGCACCACGAACCCAAGGCTATAGGGGACGCGGATGGGCGTCACGGGATGTGAGCCGAGCCGAAGCCGAGCCGAAGCCGAGTCGGGACGAAGTCGGGACGAAGCCGAGCCCAGCCGGAGTAAAGCCCCACAATGGCCCCCCGAGTCGTCTTCGGCCGCACGCACGCATGGGAGATGTAAAACCTCGCCCTCCGCCCGCGACAGTACAGAAAAAAAAAGAAAAGGAAAAATGAGAGAGCGAGACAGAGAGAGAGAAAAAGAGAGAGATGCCAGAAGAGACGGCATCGTAAATAGTGAAGGAGTGGGGAAGCGCCTCTGCTGCAGTATACCGTCCGTAATGGCGATGATAAAGATTGTCTCCAATCGACTCTGCCTCAACTTCCTTCTTATACACGGACGGCGACGACGATCATCACTAATTCTAGGCGGAAACCGACAGCATAAAGAATTTACCCACCATTTATTTTTTTTTCGCTTTTTTTTTACCTTTGTATTTTTAGCCCGCCCTTCTGCTTTTAAAAAAGCATTAAAGCGGGCTTATGCAACCGCTCTCGTGTCTGTCTGTCCGTCTGTCTGTCGTCCGTGTAAGAGGAAGGAGATGAGCTAGAGGTCTACAAATTTCAGGGTATCTTAGGGGTCACTTCTGGACAACGAAACGCTTGGTGCAAATCCTGGCAACCACCCCT